GGAAGCCTCTTGTTAAATGCTGCCATTTGTTAGAGTTCTGTTTTCAGCTTTTCTGTTTACCAAGCAGAGCGCCAACATATTTGGTTTGCTTTGAATTAAAACTTAATACTTCAATGGATTTCAGAAATTGCAGTGTAAAAACAAATCTGGATTCATAGCATACAAACAAATGAACACAGACATTAAGACATGGCTTTGAGATCTGATCCACTCCAGATGTTAAAGCTTACTGCTGACTGGCCTCTAGAGCTCACACTAAAAATTTCATGTAAATTGTGTTTTTTGGCTTAGCTCATTTTAGCTCTCTATACAGGAAATAGTTCCTTTACAGTGACTCATATTTTTAAATGAGTAGTTTCTTATGAAGAACTATTTTAATTTATGAAAATAAAAATTAGAAATCATTTGGAATACTACATTGGCTAAGAAATCTTGGATCACAGATAATACAGAGGGGCTTTGGGCTTGAAACATTCCATGTGTACAAGATAAATAAAGAAATTAGGAGAAGATTGAGCTTGCTCAGAATACTAAATTTTTGTGGTGGTCCCTCTCATTTCTTTGCAAATGTGATGCATGAAGGAGAATGATCCCTCTATAAGTGATACCTGACTTCTTAAGAAAAACCCTCTGTTATTACAAACCAGGCTCAGATTCTAGTCATCTTTCTCTATGTTGTGCTGCGATCAGAAGCAACAAATAACAAGTACCAAGCAAATTAAAAACTGTGTTACCAAATGTTTGTGGCTTACAACCAGTGTTTACTTCTCGCTTATGTTTGCATGGCGTATTTAGATCAATTCTGTGCAGAAGCTCTGCTGCCATATCCTATATATTTATCATTGTGGCACCTGAGCTCTTGGTCTTGTGAGAGGCAAAAGTAAAAGATGGCTGAATCATGCATGCAATGACAGCCAAAGCCTCTTCTGGGAAATGGGTGCATTTCTTCCACTCACATTCTGTTAGAGCAATTCCTATGGCTAAGTTCACAGTCAGTGGGAAGCGTGAGCTGTTAATTCAATAGGAAGACATGGCAAGTAATAAGGCAAAGAGCATAGACGTTCAAATGTTCAATCTCCTTACAGGAAGGACATGTGTAATTATTAAAGCAACGTAGTCTATCCTGGTTTACAAGCACAAATAAAATATTTTTGAAAGACAGTCCAAATTCACAAGTCTTATCGTATTAAATGCAAAAGAGGTCACCTTAGATAAACTGTGTTGGTAAATTTTATTTCAGTATCTGTCTCAAAACTGTGGTGAGGTATTACGATGTCTGGGATCCAGGGAGAATACAGGCTTACAGAATTAATAAGGTTTCATTTCCACAGAAAGAAAGAAACGCAGCCAAAATCAATTGCACCTTCTAGGTTTAGAGCCCTTGAGCCCTATAAGCTCCTCCTAAAACATTTGGACTGCAGCTGCTTTTCTCCTTGCTAAAGTTCTTGTGTTTCATTAATCAGGGCCCCAGGGAATGGCCCACTTTAGCTTACTCTGATGCTATTTGGCTGTTTTTCTTCCTTCTTGTCATCTTCTAATGGGCAAAAGAGAAAAGAGAAACATTATCTTGGAGGAAGCAAATGGAGCCCTGGAGGATTAGAGAGCAAGAAGATATCTTACTCTGTGTTTCACACTCTTTGGCTTTCAAGAATTGTAGTATGTGTTCATTTCTAAAAAAAAAAAAAGGAAACATCTACCACACCTTAAAATTAATGAATCAACAAGAATTGGTCAAGCACCTATTTGCAAATTTGTTTGCTAAACATTGAAAGGGGAAAACAAGTTATCTTTCCTTTGAGATTTGCTGTTTGGTTAGTGAGCAATTTAGCATAACTTCACTCTGTAAAATTTGTATTACAGATATTGTGAGAGTTTGCAGATGGGAATTGGTATGAGGCTGAGTCAAGGGAGAGGCGTGTGACTTTTTGGGTCTGGGTAATAATCATATGGCTAAGCCATTACTTATTTAATCATCCTTATTATTAGAGCTTGAAAGCAGTTTCAGTTCTCATCACAGCATGGCATATTGTGATGTGGATCCATGGACAGCTTTGTCCGCATCTTGAACATCCTTATGATAGAGCATTAGAAGTGACACATACTGATGAGCAAACTTCCGGAGCTTTATGCTCCTACCCATTACGGATAAGAGGAACTGTGTCAAGATACCCCCAGTAGCTTTGTAAAAGCTGTACAAATATTACACTGTAAAATATTTCCCCTTATTATTACCCACTCCCCTTGCTCTAGATAATGCTTACTTTTCTGCAAATTTCATCTTTTTTTTTTTCTGGTACCGGGAATCGAACTCATGACCTTGCACTTGCCAGGCAGGCGCTGTGCCGCTGAGCTAAATCCCCAGCCCCTGCAAGTTTCATCTTAAAGATTACTTCTGCTGAGAAGTATTCTGTAATACACTGTTGGGTGTCTTTGTGAAGATCTTTTAATATCACCCTTTTATTTTCCAGCAATATAATTCATTCATGATGTACACTTACTAAACACATTATATCTCAGAATATAAAGTTGTAAGTATAGTGTGAAGGAAAAATAAAAGTAAAGCAACAAATGAAAAACCACATTCATTTCAACATGTGGGAAGCCTAGGTAAGCTCCACTTGACTGAATGAAGTGGTCAGCTATTTGTACCCTAACATGTTACATTTTTGTTGTTGTTGTTGTTGGCTTTTTTTGGTACTGGGAATCAAACTCATGACATCACGCTTTCCAGGTAGGCGCTGTGCCACTGAGCTATGTCCCCGGCCTTCTATCCTAACATATTAGGAATGCTTCACAGCAAATGAAGCCTGATGTGGCTGCGTGGGTTGGTGACTCTTTTTCTGCAATGGTGACTAACTTCTGGCAGGTGTCCAGGAAGGGAAACAAACAAATGATTCTTTTTACACATTATTGTCATCCTGAAAAATTCATTGTATATTAAAAATAAAAATACTTGGTATTTAATATGTAAAATAGAGGTAGATTTTATGCTTATTATCAAAGCTTTACCCTAAATGAACCTCACACAGGACTTAGAAGAATCCTGGTTCTGTGTGACTCTCTTAGTTTCAAGTTGTCTGATGTCTTTGATACTTAATCACTAAGTGCAATAGTGCCCTACCATCCTTGTGATCATAATTACGAATGAAATTTACAAATTTACAAATTTACAAATGTCCTTGTAATTTTCCTAAATGCCTAGCTGGTACCTACTGAGAACCACTGGTCAAAATGTAGCACCCTGTACTATCTCAGGCATTGTACTTGTTGTGCTTTCAAAAAAAAGTATGCTTGAGTGTTCTAAATGCCTATTTTATGTTGCTATCACTCGCAAGGGTCCTGGTACTCGTGATACCTTGGTAAGTTAATTGAGTGAATTTGGCAGGGGTGGTATGTATATCCATGGAAATATTCCTGACTATGGTGCAAGGTCCCCGGTGTTTCACCTTTATTGCTATTGTTGAGATAGCAATAGCTATTCTTGAATCAATATTTTTCATTACAAGGCATTTTACTAAGGAATCATGCTGTCTTATCTTTTTGCCTCAACAATCTATGAGCTAGGTTTAGATACAGAATCTTGCTCAAGGTTATTAAAAGTGGACACTTTGTAAGTGACAGAGGTGGGATTTGAACACAAGTCGGTTTATGGTGTTCATGGCCATTCACAATGAAATACTGGTTATTGAGTTAAAATAGGTAGTCTTACTATATGAAGGAAATTTTCTCTTAACTCTCTAAGGGCTTATCTTTTAATAAGCCAGGAGTACTAATACACTTTTAGGCAGTCTTGGAACTATCATATGGTTTATATTATTGGATCTATAACTTAAAATTTCAAACAATTATCACATTACTTTCTCCTCTTGCATCATTTGGTATTTAAAGCTAACACTGTCCAGTGGACCATGAATTCATTTTTCTAAAACTGTGTTTAGGTATTTTTATCTGTATTAATAGTGAAATTGGCTTGTAGTTATTTTTATTATCTAAGTTGGGATTTGCTAACAGAGTTCTGAGAAAAATTAGTTGGGAATTGTGCCATAATTGAGAGTATCTTAAAACAAGTTTTATATGAGAAGTATCTCTTTCTTAAAAGGTTTAAAAGTAATTACCGAATAGAACATTTTCTGGGATTTTTCTTTCTGGGGGAAGAGAATATTTAATAATGTTTTCAATTTTGTCCTAGGTTTATGTTTATTTAGATTTTGTTTTTATTCTTCTTGAGATAATTTTAGTAACTGTACCATAGGGGTATACATAGAATTATATCTAAAACATTTCTTAAAATATTTGTATTTATAACACCTTAATATTTTAAATTTTTTGTATTAGTTCTTGTTTTCTGTTCTTTTAGACTTGGCAGAGATTTATCTTTTACATTCCACTGTTCCTTAACCTGCCTCAAAAATTCTTGAATATAATTGTGAATTATACTTTCCTTTGTACTGTACTAAGTTTTGCTTTTACTTTTACTTTATTTGCCCTCATTTTAATGTGTTCTGTCCAATTTTTAAAATTGATGTCTTGAGGGCTCTTTGTGTCCTTTCCCCAACCCTCATCATCGCATTTACCTTTCTTATCTTTCTTACTTTCATTTAATCATGAAAGCAGTTTATTCCAGAATTTATTTTGATTATACATTTAGATAAAACCTGTATATTTTGATATGCAAGCTTCATGCTTTTTATTGTTTGCAAAGTAGTCTAAAATTGTAGGTTCATTTCTTCTTTGACATTGTGGACATCATCAGGAGGACATCTTTAAAATGGCTGTATTTGGGGATTTTATTGATTTTAGATTTTATGAATATTTAGTGCTAGTGCACTGTGCTAAAAATGATTCACTGACTGCTTTTAAATGTATTAAAAATATAAGTATTACCCAAACGAGATTATTGTCTACTTTGAATTGACCATTATCTCATCTCTGAATAATCCCACATTACCAACAGAGTTTTATTGATGAAAATTACAGATCTATCTTGTTTTCCTGTTTAGGTTCAAGATGATGAAACTTTACTTGGAAAAGTCTGTGGCAATGAAATCCTCTCTCCCATTAGATCCATTACAAATAATATCTGGATCAGGTTTAAAATAGACACTTCTGTTCAAAGCGCTAGCTTCAGAGCTGTTTATCAAGTTGGTAAGAAAACTTCTGCTTAATTTTTAAATGTCTAATTTACTTTATTGTGGCATTTTAATTTTGTGAAATAATTTAATAATATTATATTCTGAAGGGACAAAGAATATATTCCCGTAAAACATCACATTCTGCCATTTCTTCAGGCAGAATTAGACTATGCAATAAAATTAAGGGCAAAGATTATTTATTTCTGGACATTTTTCTATTTATAGCTTGTGGGGGTGATTTAACTGGAGAAGGAGTCATTCGTTCACCGTTTTACCCTAATGTGTATCCTCGAGAAAGAACCTGTAGGTGGACCATCTCCCAACCCCAAGGCCAAGTAGTTCTTCTCAACTTTACTGGCTTTCAGATTGGAAGTTCTAACCACTGTGACACAGATTATGTTGAGGTAAGAGTAAAAAGCCTTCAAGCATTTGTACTTGGTTGTATGTTGGTAAAAACACTAGGTCATGTCATGCTCAAATCAGTTATGTGGAAGAGAACCATTTGTATAACCCAGTGTTTCTTAAGAATGCAGACAAAAAAATTCTTAACAAAATACTAGCTAACCTTACCTAGCATATAGATAGGATTATATACCTGAACAAGTAGGGTTCATCCCAGGAAGTCTAGCTTATTATAATATCCAAAACAATTGAAGAATATGATACATAGTATCAATAAAATAAAGGTATAAACAACATTAGCACCTGAATAGATACAGAAGAAACATTTGACAAAATCCATATATTTTCATTACGAAAGCACTTCACAAAATAAAGACAAGGGGAATTTCCTTAACTTAAAAAGACATCTAAAAAAATCTCCTACATATAAAATACTTAATGATGAAATACTAAACTCTTTGCCCTAATGATCAGTAAAAAAAGGCAAAGATTTCTGTTCCTACCACTTCAATTCAACATTGTACTGGAAATTCTCACTAGAGCAGTTAAATAAGGAAAAGAAATACAATGCATCTTGAATGGAAAGAAAACAATAAAACTATCTCTATTCACAGATTGCATGAACTCGTATAGAAATTCACAAGGAATCCGCACACATTAATGGAACAACTAGAACTAACAAATCCAGCAGGTGGCGGGTTATAAAACCAAAATTTGAAAATCATTTCCTTTTTAAATATATTTTAGCAGTGAATAATTTGAAGATGAAAACTCAAAGAAACTAATTTACAGTAGCATTAAAACAAGAGTCATTAAGGAGTATACTTTATGAAAGAAGTGTGAAGCATATTCTTACAGACTATAAGCAATATTGAAAGAATTCATCATTTGTGGTGGAACATGCAAATAGCAAATAAAGTAGTATTTGTCTTAGTTACTCTCTCATTGCTGAGACACAGTACTCAACCTCTGTAACTTAAAGAAGGACAGGTTTTTTGGGGGCTCATGGCTTCAGTGGGTTCAGTCAATGACTGGCAGGCTTCAAAGCAGAAATGGCATGGTGAGCGAGCCTGGCAGAGAAAATCAGCTTATGCCATGCTCAGGAGGTCAGGAGGCAGTGAGGAAAAGGGGGAGCGAGGGAGAGGGCTATGTCCTTCCGGGCCATGCCTCACCTCCTAAGAGTATGCTCAGCTACTGATTATCCACTGATGAACAGAGAGCCACCACGATCCTATCACCTTCCCAAAGCCCTACCTCTGAGCACATGAGAATGTATATCTATGTTTGCATTCTATATTTAAATCGTAATGTTATGCATGATTTTAGAATGGAAACAAATCCCCATCAACTGGTGAATGAATAACTAAACTAGAGTATACCCGTCCAGTGAAATGGCATTAGAAAGGAATAAATTGTTGATTCACGCACACTTCACATGGCTGGACCTTGAAAGCATACAACATGAAAGAAGCTAGTCAAAAAAACCACATGTTGTATGATTCCACTTGCCTGAAGTAGCCAGACTAGATAGTTTATACGGACAGAGAGTAACTTAGTAATAAGTGCACAGGGCTCTTATTTCAAGGGAGTGGAGAATGACTAGGGATAGGCATAAATTTCTCATGAGGCAGCTGAAATATTCTTGAATTGATTTTTGCTAATTAATATAAATACCTCAGACATAATTATCCTCAAAGTAGCTTTCCAAAATAAATGTCTAACATAATTAACTTAATATATCTCTTTTACTTTAGATTGGTGGCAGTTCTGTTTTGGGTTCTCCTGAAAATACAAAGTATTGTGGTACAGAGATCCCTTCATTCATAACATCTGTGTACAATGTTCTTTATGTCACATCTGTGAAGAGTTCTTCTACGGAAAATCATGGTTTTAGGGCTGTGTTCAGCACTCAGGATTTGGGTAAGAGGCGGTCTCTTTCTCCTTCATCTAGGTTCATATCAGAATAAATGAACAATAGAAATAAATCATATAAAATTCATCTACATTATGAAAAACTTTAAAGCATGTTTAAACACAAAGTGTATATTTTCAATCACCACATATGAATAGTTCTCTTATAGTAAAAGAAAAACTATTAGTAAAAGAAAAACTAAGTTACACTTACATGGCAGATAAAAAATGGCATTTTTTCCCTTGAGGTTTTAAGGAGAAATTATTGGCATATTTTATTTTGAAATCCAGGTAGCTTGTTGGTTACCTGATTTGATAATTATGATTATTTTTATTTTAACAGTATGTGGAAAAACTCTTACTGAGTCATCTGGAATCATTAAAAGTCCTGGCCACCCCAATATTTACCCCAGTGGTGTTAACTGTACCTGGAATATCTTAGTCCAGCATGGCCAGCTGATTCGTTTGGTGTTTGATAAATTTCATCTGGAGTTTCATTACAATTGCACAAGTGACTACCTGGAAGTGTATGATACTGGCTCTGGGACTTTTCTTGGGAGGTGAGATTACTTTGTGTTGCTTTTCATGCTGAATTTGTGGCTTATTTATTGTTTTATAGATTTTTATAGAGAGAGAGACAAAACCACACTTACCACCATTTCTTGTCATCTTGTCTTTGTTTCAAAATTGACAATATATGTTTAAGTTTATGTGCATTGTAGAATGGTTAAATCTAGCCAATCAACAAACACATTACCTCATATATTAAGTATGTTTAGTGGTAAGAGTTCAGCACATCACTCTGCATGTTCTCGAGGGTGTAATATACCATCAACTGGAGTCACCTTACCGTATGGCAGACTTCTAGAAATTTATTTCTCCTTTCCAACTGAATTTTTTTTCGAGACAGAGCTTTGCTATACAGTTTAGTCTGGGCTTGAACTCACTATGTACCTCAGGCTGACCTTCAACTCCTTGGCAATCCCCTCTTTAGCCTCCCAAGTGCTGGGATTACGCACGCCCAGCTCCAGCGGAAATTATGTGTGCTTTAATCAATATCTGCTTCTCTTTATCTTGGCCATTGTATATAATGTTGCAGTGAACACCACAAGGTGGATATCTCTCCAGCATAATGATTCCCTTTCCTTCACTTACATACTCAGTGTTGGGATTGCTGGATTGTATGATAGTTCTGTTTTTAATTTTTGAGGAACCTCTATATTATTTTTCTTAATGATTGTGCTAATTTATATTCCCATCCACAGTGTCTGTGGGTTCTCTTTTCACATCTTCATCAACACCTGTTTTATTTTTATAGCAACCATTTGAACAGGTGTGAGGTGCAATCTCACTGTGGTTTTGACCCGTGTATCCACGATGATTAGTGATTCTGACTCACTTTTCCTATGCTTGGTGGCCATTTTCTGTGTTTTCTTTGGAGTAACGTCTACCTTTGCCCATTTTTAAAAAATCGGATTACTTGCTTTTTTGTTGTTGAATTCTTTATATACTTTGGCTATAAAGTGATTGTCAGGTATAGAGTTTGCAAATCTCATATTCCACTCCATAGGTTGTCTCTTTACTCTATCAGTTACTTTGTTTGCTGCTCAAAAGATGTAAGTTTTATATAATCCCATTGATCTATTTTCATTTTTGGCATGCTTGTGAGGTCTTATCCATAAAAGCCCTTGCCCAGATCAATGTTATGAAGCTTTTCTCCTATGACAACTTCTTGTAGTTTCATAGTTGCAGGTTTTATATTTAAGTCTTTACCCATGTTGAGGTGATTCTTCTGCACAGTGAGAGATGAGGGTCTAATTGTATTCTTTTGCATTTACATACTCAGATCTCCCAGCATTATGCAGCACATGAATATATATTCCATACCTACATGCATTAATTTTTCCTCTAAATTTTTAAACCTACGAGAAACAGTTATAAATATTTTACTGTCCTGATCTACTCATTCAATCATGTATGATTTATTGCTAGGTTTTGACTTATTTTCCTTGTCATTATGAATTATACTTTCTCATTTCTTTTTATGCCTGGTAATATTGATAGGCTATTAGGCATTTTCAATTTTGCATTTTTGGCACTAGATGTAATGATATTCCTATAAATATTCTTGAGCTTTGTCCTGGATTGCTGTTAGGTGGCTTAGTGCCTTCCAGTGTTACTCTGAAATTCACTTGTTTCCTGTCCCTGAAGGACTGGTGTCCTTCATCACTTCGTATCCAATGTCATTAAAGTCATTTTAAAAATATATTTTGTCCAGAACTTTAGTTTTTTAAGGTGAAAGGTTAAATCTAGACCCTATTATTATGTCTTGGTTGGAAACAGAGTTGTCATGTTTGCTTTCTTATTTCTTCTTTTTGCATTTTTACTATTTTTTATTACTTTTAAAATTTTTTGTTATTTTCTTAATTTTTTTCTTTTGTTTTACTATCCTTTTTTATCTTTTGCTTCTTACTTATTTTAATCTTTCATTCAAATTTCTTTTCTTTTCTTTTTCTTGGAGAGGTATGTGCCCACTGCAAAATATGTAATTTCTATTGAATGTCATAATCTGTAATGATCTTGCACCTCTGTAGTAGACATAGCTATATATACATGCAAGGATTTGTTCAGTTCACCTGCCTTTATTTTGATTAAGCTGTCAGATCTTTTTTAAACAATAAAATAGTACTTTACACCAAATTTTCTTTTTTCCAGCAGTAGTTAAGTCACCCATTTCTCATATGCAGCATTTCATCTTATTTTGATTTCCATATGATTTTTCTCTGTCAATACATATGTTTAATTTTATCAAATTTATTTGGACTTTTTTCTCTTCTTTCCTTCATAAAAGGTTTTTCTGTTTGTAAAACTCTCATACCATCGTGTCTTTTATTGCATCCTTGCTTTTGTCATAACACAGTATTATTTCTGAACAAAATTGCTTTTTGATCAGCAAAACTATGACCTGGTTTAGTAAATAAGCTTTTACTTTGCCATAGGTCATCTGTTTAAGGGCAATTGATTTCACCTATATAGGAATTTAATTTCTCAAATACTGTTCTGTTTCATATAGAGCATTTTAATTGATCAAATTTTCCAGAACAACTCTATGAAGTAGGCATTGTCAACCTCTCCATTTTAGAGATAGACAAAATGCACTGAGATTGCATAACCTGCCTGTGGTCACAATGCCTTTAAGTAATAGATCTGATCCTTTGTTCTATAAGTTTGTTTTTTAAAAAAAAATTTGTAGTATACTGGGGATTAAACCCAGGGCCTTTGCACTAAATTACATCCCCAGCCTTTTAAAAAAAATATTTGAAACACGGTCTCTCTAAACGACTAATTTGCCCAGGCTGGACTTCAGTTTGCCATCCTCCTGCCTCAGCCTCCCAGAGTGCTGAGATTATAGGTGTGCACCGTAACATCTGGCTATTATGAGTGGGAGATACATTGTTTCCCTTTGCTGCTTATGTTAATCACAGTGCTGCAAACAAGTTCATAAATACACTATGTGGCAATGTAATGTAGCTTACTTCCTCATTTCATTAAAATCCTCCTCATACATGCTAAGCCACAAAGTCAGACACAGACAAAACCATTTCAGCAAAGTGATCATGAACAGCATGATTCTGCTGAGTAACTTTGTAGATATTTTTTGCCTGAATTATATGTGCTTTCAAGGTAGGTTGATAGGAGGCAGATAATAAAACCCATTATCACATTTACATGTCTAAATTTCTGTTACTTCACTTCAAATATACTAAAAGTTTGAAAACCCACGTATCTGTTCTTTCTTGGTTTGGTATAGATACTGCGGAAAATCCATTCCGCCCTCTCTTACCAGCGGTACCAACTCACTAAAGCTGATATTTGTGGCTGATTCTGACCTCGCTTATGAAGGTTTTTCAATAAATTACACAGCAATTGATGAAACAAAAGGTAACAAGACATCCTTGTGTGTTTGGTCTCATTTTCTCTATTATAAAATGGCACTTATGTCTAAAACAAAATGCATGTACTTATTCTCAAAACTATGGCATGTAACAAAAGCTATATTTGAAATAAAATGCGGTGAGGTAAGTATTTTCCATATTAAAAATAGATTAATGATGAGACATAATTTTTATTGTGTTGTAGCTATATTAGTTTTCTTCCTCATTTTCTCAACATTAAATTCTGTGGTTTTATAAGGGAATATGTGTATGATACTATGAATTATACGGTGGCTGGATATGGTGGCACATACTTGTAATCCTAACTACTCAGGGAGCGAAGGCAGGAAGATGGAGAGCTAACGGTCAGTCTGGGTAGCTTATCAAAAAAGAAAATTTGCACAGGAATAATATACTGAAGGTTTTAAGGGTAAATGTCTACAAATTACTCTGAAGAAATTCATATAATAAGAGAACAACAGCAAGAGAGAATGGTAAAGAGCTGGAAGCACAATTCAAGTATACAGTGCATCTGGGTAAAAAGAATTTGGGAGCTCATTCTTGCATCTTTCCTGCAAGGTTCAAATCGTATCAAAATTAAAAGTTGCCGGTGATACTGAGTGCTCATTGTAAGAAATTATAGAAAAGGTGACAGATAAAAAAACAGCATAGAAATCTACAGCAGGAAGGAAGCTTCCATGTCAAAATGTACCTTCCTAAATTGGACCTAATTAAATCAAACTTCTTTGGCACGTGTTCCTTTTGTTGCATTTTAATACTCACCATGAGTTTGCTCCTTGCAAATGCAGTGCAGGAGATAGCTTTGCGGGCAGAGTCTTTGAGATAACGTGTGAACAGAGGTGCCTCCAGCTCAAGAGCCTGTGGGATTTATGAGGATGTCCTGTTTCATTGGGTTCCTGTTCCCACCTGTGATGTGTACCTTTTTAGTGAGTCTGGACTTCTCTTTTGGTTCATATTTAGAAAGATATTCAATGGACAAAAGTGTCACTCTGCAGATCCACAGTAGGCATCTCATGACTACTTGCCCAGCACCCCAAAGCCTCCTCTCAGAGGAGACTGGGAGCTTCTCCTGTTCCTGGATATGCTCCTTCTGACACAAACTTATATCCACACAACTCCAGGTCTCCATCTTCAAAAACTCTGCTTCCCAGAATGAATTTAAAAATCCCCTACTCAGGATCTCTCCCTAATTTCTCCTTTACCTCTCCTTCAAAGGGTCTGGCTGCTACTCTGCATTCCACCAAAAAAAAAAAAAAAAAAATTGCTGTTCTCTGCAGGAATCCATGTTCTGTATTTTAGAAACATGACTAGATTTCTCCAGAATCCTGAATGCAAGAGAATCATATACTTTTATCTCTGGTGTAACCCTCTTAGAGACAATTAGTATCCAACCCAAGCACACAGGAAATGAAACTCTTGTGATTTGCAATAAGTTATGTTGTGTGACTGACATATTCACTGGAGTTTGTTCAGGTGGTTATTATCCAAAGACCAAAGTTGATTTCTCAAGAAATTATAGTGTGCACACAACTTTCCATACTTCTCTAGTTTTCCTGCCTCATATATTTGGCCCCAAACCACAGTGAATATTCAATTTAAAGTAATTCGCTTGAACTCTCTGGGCTACAGTTTTCTCATCTGTGTAATTAAAGGATTGAATTTGATGAGTTTTGAAATGTCTTCTGGTTCTAATCATGATAAACATAATTTTCATTTGCTGCATGAATCAACTAGCTGAATCTTAGATAACATGTAATGTAGGCAAGACCTCCTAAAAATATCCTGGAAGTCTTTGTAATAATATGCAGAGTAAGACATAGCTCTGTAAAGAGTGCAACAACTCTATTAATACCACACTAGCTTGTAAGACAATGTTTAATGCAGAAACAACCAAAAGCAATCAAAATAATCTGGCAAGGAGAATCTCAAAGTTAAACTTCAATTAAGAGCAAAACAAGGTCCACTCTTACCACTCCTGTTCAATATAGTACTCAAAGTTTAACCACAGCAATCAGGCAAGAAAAAGAAGTAAAACAGATAGCTATAGGAAAGGAATAGTCAAACTATCCTTATTGCTTTACATAGAAGGCTCAAAATTCTCCACCAAAAATTCCTAGAATTAATAAACAAATTCAGCAAAGTAGGAGGATGCAAAATCAATGCACAAAAATCAATAGCATTCCTATTTTCCAACAATGAACCCAATGAAAAAGAAATAAGAAAAACACGCCTATTTAGATAGCTTCAAAAATAAGTTCAATACCTAGGAACTAACCTAATCAAGAAAATGAAAGACCTTTATAACAAAAACTATAACATTCTGAAAAAGGAAAGGAAATTGAGAAGACATCGGGAAATGGAGCAACACCCTTGTTCTCGAGCAGGCAGAAATAACATTGTCAAAATGTCAGTTTTACCAATGATTGATATATAGATGTAATGCAATGCCAATCAAAATACCAACATCATTCTTCACAGTGCTAGAAACAACAACCCTAAAATGTTAATGGAACCGGATGACAACCAGGATAACAAAAGCAATCCTAGGCAAAGAAAACAAAGCAAGAGGCATCAGATCCTGGATTTCAAATAATATATTTAAGCTACCAGGATAAAAACAGCATGAGTACTGGCAACAAAGCAGACATGTTGATCTGTGGTGTAGAACTGAAGATGTACAACCAACCCCAGATACCTTCAGCTGTCTGATCTTTGACAAATGGACCAAAGACAAATGCTGGAGAAAAGATAACCTCTTTAACAAATTGCTGTAGGGAAGTTGGTCATCCAAGTGCAGAAAAATAAATCTAGAACCCTACTTATCATCCAGCACTGTCTGTCAAATCAAAATAGATCAAGGGCTTATATAAAAAAGTAGAAGTGCTGAATCTGGTAGAAGAAAAAAATTGATGATACTCTTAAAGATGTCAATATAGGCAAGGGCTTTCTGAACAGAACCCCAGTTACACAAGAGATAATGCCAAAAATCAACAAATGGGATTATATTAAATTAAAATGCCTGTGCAAATCAAAACAAACAAACAGAATAAAGGGACAGTCTATAGAATGGGGAAAATTCTGCTAATTACTTCTCAGACAGAGGACTAATATCTAGAATATATAAAGAACTTAAACAGACCCAAAAATAAAAGACCCAATCCAAAAATGGGCAACTGAAATGAGTAGGTAGTTCTCAAGAAAAGTACAATTCATGTACCAATTATTAATTGGCATCATTAGCCATTAGAGAAATGCAAGTCAAAACAGCATTGAGGGTCTATCTTACTTCAGAAAGAATGGCTATCATCACAAATGCAAAAAAAAAATGCTGAGGAGATTGTGGGTGTGAAGGAACCCTTTTATACTATTGATGGGAATGCCAACTAGTGCAGCCACTATGAAAACAATGTGAGACTCCTCAGAAAACTAAAAGTATAGATTCCATTTGATGTAGCTGTACATTTTCTGGGTATCTTCCTGAAAAGGTTAAACACATAACATTACAGTAATACATGTATACCTGTGTTTATAGCTGCACACTCATAGCAGCTAAATGGTAGGATCACCCTACCTGCCCAGCAACAAATGAATGGATAAAGAAAATGTATTATACATATACACAGTGGAGTACCACTCAGCTATAAAGAAAGATAAATGTAAGTCATTCACTGGAAAATTATTTTATCTTGAGACAATAATGCTAAATGCAGTAAATCAGACACAGAAGGATAAATATTGCATGGTTTCTCTTACATGAGATGCTCAAGTTATAAATATTTTAGAAATAAAAGATGGATGGTAAAATATAGAAAGATAGACTTTGTAGAGAAAGGAAGGTGAGCTGGGGATAGAGGAGACAGGAGGGAGGAAATATAAAGGATCAAGAAATAATATGCTTACATAACACTTCTTCATGGTGAATGTATTTATTATGCCTCAGAAACATACATGATAAAAAGGGAAGGAAATATTTCAATGATAAAAGTTTTCAGAAAATAAGATAAAATAAAAGTAAAATGTGAAACAGGAAAGAAGCTGTGCAGGAAGTGTGACCTCTAAGAAAGTGAGCAGGGGTTGGGGGTAGAGTGTGTACTTAGCATTCGTTGGCCCTGGGTTCAATCCCCAGCAGCCCTGCTCCCCAAATAAAAGGAAGAAGAAGAAAAAAGAAATGATAAAAAGTGACATGGTAAAACTAGTGCTCACTGGTTTCCAATTGTGTTTAGCTTCTGATCTGAATTTGAAAAAGTGAAAATTTAAATACAGTAGTGAAAGTTCCCTAACTATTTAGGTGGGAAGAAGATGAAATTGAGGCAATAACTCCAAAGACTCTCTACCCTTCTTCCCTGTGTGCTGATCACTACTTTCACCTCTGTTTGATCCAGACAGGGCTAAAGTCACAGATGAGATGTGTACTTTCTGTTCTTTGGCTTAGCCTGGCTGCTTGATGCGCACCAGTCTTTTGTTGGATGAACTTATAGGATGGACTAACGTAGTCCAGTCATTCTAAATAGCAACCAGATGATTGGATCCAGGAAGCCCTGTGACACCTTCGTTTTATAATTCTGGAGCCTGTCACAGTTTCCCATAAATCAGGACAAGTGATTGGCTCTCATGAATTGTTGAAGGTGGCCCCAAAGTCTTTCTTAGGGAAGTGCTGGTCTCAGGAGACCGAGATGGAAGTGAAGCTGGTGGCCGCCAGACAGCGGCTGGCTCTCTCAGTCAGCCAAAGGCAGGATGAACTGGTGCCTCAAAAATACAGAAATGTTAGGACTCTTTCTTTTCAGTGATCGTCTTACTCTGGTTATCTTCCACAGAATAGATATGTCAGGGAGAATCAGCACGCTCAGTCACTGACCCTTCACCTCCTTTATCGCTGTAGCAGAAGTAATTTCAGAGCAATAATTATGGTTTTGTTGCTGTTGCCCGGTTCAGCTGGCATGTGTTTCCCTGCTACACTCTTTCCTGTCTTCATCTGATAGAGGTGAA